CGATTTTTTCAGACTACAACTCCTACACAGACTACAATTACAACTGCAACTACAATTAAGGGTAGAATTTGGCGTCGTATCTTCTTTTTCTTCTAAAATTGTAGTGTTTTGTGTATTTTCTTCACATTTCTTCGCTTCTATTTCCCCATCCTCTGTAAGATTACCACATAAATTATCGTTTTGTTCCAAATTGTTACTTTCATTAAAACTGTCTGATTTATCATCAGAAATTAGCACTGGAGTTGATGTGCACCAAGCTTGTAAACGCAATGAACGTCTGATAGGTCTTCCAGTCTCAAAAATTGTTGTTTTTACCATTTATACCTACCAACAATGACAAGTTTTAGTTTCATAAATTTCAAGTAAAATTTTGATAAAACTTCATTTGTCAGCACGTTTTTTATCAACAAAAATAATAATTAAGTAATAAATTAAGAGATTTACCTTGATTTCAACTGAAAATTGTTAAACACGTGCTTTGACGCGTTGAGTTTGACAATTTATTTAAAAATCATGTCTAGTGATTTTTCCTTTATTACAATTTAAGTGGCCAAACTGAAAATTGATTAATTAACCCACCTTTTAAACTACTCTATGAATTTTATTCAACAATAATAATTCAATCACATTTAAAAAAAAGTTAACAAAAAGATGAAAATCAATAAATTAGGAAAAACCCTAAATTCACTTTTATATTAAACCCAAACAAAATAATTAAAAACGTCGTGGTGTTACTACGCATGCGTAAAATTTAGATTATGTGACACATTGACCCGTTGATCTCACCTTCCGTGTTTTACATTACTGAAATACCAAATCGCCATTTTTCCTAATTTTTGGAAAATCTCGATAAAGCATAAAAATGAACAACGCACGTGTAAGTTGTCTCCATTTAAATCAATTCGTTTAATGTATTTTTCTCGTTGTAAAGTTTTTAATAATAAAAAAATTACTCGTTATGTAATCGTAGCAGTCCTTGGCTTTGGGGCGCCTCCTCGTGCGAGAATTTAGCAAAACAGCCCCCAGAAGCACGGAACAAGTGTCTCCCAAGTTCCACAAATTGAAACAAATCCAACAGAAATTTGGGGTAATATCCTGGATTAATTATTGCACATTATTGTTGATTTGTTTCAGGTTGAAGACAACGTCCCAGTGTACTTGAAAGGGGGCGCCGGCGATAAAATCCTCTATGCAGCCACTTTGGCGATAACAGCTGTTGGTCTCGGAATGTCCCTAGAGACTTGGTACCGATTGGCCGTGAAATAAACGCAATTTGTCTTGTAGTATATTATTAAGTAAAAATCCAACAATAAAGTTTATTTAAACAAACATTTATTTACAATTCAAACCACTCAATTCTCTTCACTATCTTCAGAAATTTCCATCGTATCAACAATTTCATCAATGATTGTCATAATATCAGCGATTTTCTTACTCGCCTCGAGAAACCTTTCCGACATTTGATTCAACTTTTCTTCATCTTCAATTTCTTGTTGAGGCTCATCTTCAATTTTTTGTTGAGGCTCATCTTCAATTTCCTTAACTTCGTAAAAATCAACAGCGTTTTCTTCAACTTGCTTGGCCTTGACTCTCTTCAATTTCTTCACATTCATAAATTCGCTAGTAAGTGTCTCACGTAATCTTTGCTTAATCAACTTTTTATTAATGATATTCGGATTTGTTTCAATGATATCAAAGATTTGTTGTTGAATCTTGGACAACTCTTCTTCCGCTTGCTTCATTTTCTCTTCTTCAATAATTTTTTTAATCGTATCTTTGGGCTTTGACTCGAGTTCACCATCTTCTTTCCTTCTTCGGTATTTCTGAATCAATTTTTTGATGTTTCGTCGCACCGTCTGGCGTTCTTCTGTACTATTGATGGGCTTTTCTTCGATTTTCTTCAATTTTTTCCTTGATTTCGAAGTTTCATTTCTTATTATTACATCAGGGGGGCTTGTGGTGTTTGTCACATTGGTTTCTTCAGTTTTGGCCACAATGACTTCTTCAATTGTCACGTTTTTTTCTTCTTCTTCTTGAAAATCATCGTAACTTCTCATTTGTAAAAACTCGCGATAATTCTCCCTTCTCCTCAAGATAAACAAAACAGGTCGTGTCTTAATTTTAATTGGAGGAATTGTAAGATAATTAAATGATAATTGATGAAACGCCTCAATTGTATCAATAATATCGTGTGTGGAAGCATAAGGTTTCAAATTTGGCGAAAATTTACTCCTAGCTTCGGCGATTAAATGCGTATATTCGTACATTTCGGGGGCCCCAGCTAACACATTCTCGACTTTACTATACCTAAAAAACATTATTAATTAAACCAATTTAACAATTAACAAAACTTACGTCCAATTTGGATTAATTTGAGTAAAACGGGAAACACCAGTTTGCGCAGCTAGATTCGAAATATGAACCGAAACATTCACTTCGTCTTTTGCAAGTCGATGCAAATGAGAAATTGCAGTCCCTCCTGGATAATTAGTCCCAGAAATACTCAACAAAAACAACGTGAAAAACACATTCACGCCCAAATGACCACACACACCCAACGACAATAGGTGATAAATGGGGCTTTTATTCCGATTCTCCCATCTGAAATAACCACAATCATGAATAATACCCCAAAGGGGGAGTCCCAGAAATAATCACGCCGCCACTGGACATTACACTTGTTACCATGACAATTAAACTTGTTACCATAGTTATGTGTCTGTTGCTATGACAATAATTGACATAGGGCGACAAAGGCGCCTCGTCTGGGACGGGGCAAGGGTGCAATTTTTTCTGGGACTTGTATGTAAGGGGGCTCACATTCGGTGACAAGCTGTCGCTGCAGTGGCGTTGAGGAACGGAAAAACGTAAATAATAAATCTGAGTTCTTTATGTGGCAAAAATGAGAATAAAAGTACGAATAAAAGTGTAGGAATACATAATTTTCGGACTCTTTCGTCGAAATATAATCCTAGAGGGATTAGAAATACTGACGTTGCCATTCCCCTTGGAATTGCTGAATAAAAGTACCACAAAAATGGTGATGTCTATATTTTTGTTAAGTTTTTTGTTTCTTATTAATTTGAAATTAAGTTTATTAAAGGATACGCCCCATTGTGAGCTTTTGTTTAAGACAGTGTTGTACCATAAGACTTCTCCTTCGGGCCACAAAGGCCTATTCCAAAAAATCGAATCGATGACCACTGAAAGCAGCAAAAAGGCAACACCGCCAGGAATGGCCATTTGGAAAAATCTTAAAATCAATAAATAAGTTCAAATTTTGATTTTGATTTGTTTTACTGACCTACCGTTTCAAAGTAATTCTTTTATTGATCAAATCGTAGAGGAGGAGAAGCCCCAAAAATAGGGCTAATTCGGCCCTGAATATGATAATAGCAGCCCCCGAAAACAAAATAAATTGTTTATTTTCGCCTTTGAGCCAACTATTCAATGCGAGGAGTACTAAAAACGAAAAATTAAGACAAATTTGAGACATTTGGGGGGTTTTTTACCAATTGGTAGTGCAAAAATGTTAGGCAAAGGCCGACTCAAATAAAACATAAAGTGGCTCTGAGTCACTGTCACTGCCATGAACCAGAGTTGCCAATTCCGCCCAAAAATCTTACCCAAAGTGCGAGACAACACATGAAAACTGGCAATAACGCAGCCCCCCAATGCAAAACGCACTATAAAACTTGTTTTAAACATTTATCTCAATTTTATTTACAAGATTACCGATATATTGTGCCCAGAATTTGTTAATTTCGAATAATTGCAAAATGGAGACTATGGGGGCGACCAAAATCGAAATGAATAAAGGGCCGATGAAAGACCGCGGGACGACTCCAGGGAACTCCAAATGGTCGTACTACAAACAGGGTTAGCTTGTGGATGGGACAAGGGGGCGCATACCTGAGACAGGTTCCACTTGTGGTACAAAATATCGTGCATGGCTTGTAAATTGAAACTTTCCTCCACTTTGGTAAATGGACAGTATACCAAATGGGCAGCGGCGATAATCAACATTATTTGCGACATTTCGGGGGCTGGTCTTTATCTACATTCTTGTAAAAGGCGAATTTTGGACGAAAATAGACTGACCTAACCTACAATTTCAGCTGACGTAAATAATCTAAATTTATTTTATCTCTTTGGTCCGGAACTAGGGACTTTTCTTAAATAAAACTACCAAAAAAACATGTTATTTTTTATTATTTTATGAATAAAACTCGTTTTTTCTACTACTCCACCAAATTTCGGTTATTTATTCCCATTTTTTCGAGACATCAGCGTAATCCCCATCGGGGCTTTCGTAATTATCAATAGTTGGGGTTTCTAAGGGCCCCTCGCGTTTAAAAGGCAACAATCTGAAATCAATCTAAACAAAAACTTGCTTTCTTCATGAAAAATAAGACAACCTGCATTGCCTCCTGATACAACTCCTCTGATTCCTTCCTCAACTCATCCAAAGCCTTTTGTTGGGCAAATAAAATCCGATCCAACATTTGCACATCTGCAAGATGTTGCTTTTTCTTATAAGTGGCCCATTGTTTCTCCAAAACTTGTCTTTGTTCCAATTCATCTTCAGATAAGACAACCAAAGACCTCATTCTTGTTTTTTTCTCATCTAAAAGTCCAAGAGGCACTTCACATTCTTCTATCGGTTTCAATTGACGTGCATTCTTCTCTAATCTTTTAATTTGCTTCTCAATTTTCTTCTTTTTGCGGTCTTCTCGTGCTTTGATAACAGCCGGGTCAAGTCTTTTCTTCTTCTTCAAAGGCTCCGCCCTGGATTATTAAATTAACTAAAGGTTGCGTTTCACTATTACTTACATGAGACATGGGGTTGCTCTAAAATTCAGAAGGACATTTGTCGCAATTCCTCGTTTTGTACACGATTGAAGAGTTAACCTAAAAAAATGATTGTAATTAAACGCAACTAGTTTAAATCAGTCCCGGACCGGTTAAGTGTGTTTATTATTGCCCAAGTGCTCATTTCGTGCCTTTTTTTCAATAAAACTCGACTAAAAATGGTAATGACATAACCTCACAAAACCATGACATAACCTCCAAAATGAGTCAAGCGACTAGTTCAAGTGAGGAAATAACCAACGAAGACCGTTTATTAGAGTTGGCAAAAGGCAAACCTGAAGGAATTTCAAACGAGAACATAAAACAAGCAATTCCGAATTTACCCCTTGAAGAACTCGCCTTAATAATCAACAAATGTTTAAAAAATGGGTTCGTGTTAAAATCGCCCCCTTATTCTCACTTAATCCCAATTTTCAGTTCTTTGGAGTTATTCAAGACCAAGGACAAGCTCCTCTACAAGTACAAAGACTCGTCCAAGAAGCCCCTCATTCGGGGGGCTGACAATGAGGAAAAACTCGTTTTTAAAATAATCGAAGAAGCTGGAAATAAAGGGATTTGGATTCGAGACATTCGTTTCAAATCAAACCTAAATATGACTCAACTCAATAAAGTACTTAAAAGTCTCGAAACGAAAAAAATCATCAAAGCCGTTAAATCAGTCTCGGCTAGTAAGAAAAAAGTGTACATGTTGTACGACTTGGAGGCTGATAGTTCGGTCACGGGGGGCGCTTGGTACCAAGACCAGGACTTTGAATCGGAATTTGTGGACGTTTTAAGTCAGCAATGTTGCAGATTTTTGCGTCAGAAATGGGAAGAGGCGAATAGTATGGGGGGTGGGCCACTTCTAGCCCGAAATCGGAGCTATGCCACCGCTCAAGACGTCCACAAGTTTATTTCCGAATTGGGAATTAGTAAAATTTCGTTATCGATTAATGATATTGAAAGTATTTTGTATACAGTTGTTTTGGATAATAATGCAGAGAGAATTGTGGCCACAAATGGCTCGTTTTTATACAGAGCTGTCAATAAATTTATGCCAACACCTGGTATTGTTAAGACCACGTGTGGGATTTGCCCCATTGCCAACAGGTGTGCAGATACCGGTTTTATTAACCCGAAAGTGTGCAATTATTTCACTGAATGGCTTGAATAAAGTTTTTACACACTTAATGGTTTTTTTAATTAAAAAAAAATGCAAAAAATCGATTTAGTTTAGGTTATGTTTGACAAGTGACATAAGCTTCAAAAAGCAACTTTTTTGGGTAAATTTTTGGCTGAAACGGCAACATTTTGATGTCCGCAGGTTTTTTAAATGTCTCACGGCCTGAATAAAGTATTTACACACTTTTACAGGTTTTTTTATGTAAAAATTGATAAAGTTTAGGTTATTTTTGACAGGTGACATAACCTTCAAAAAGTTTTTTTGGGGTTGTTTTTGATTGAAACGACACATTTTGGTGTCCGCAGGTTTTTTAAATGTCCCACGGCTTGAATAAAGTAATTACACACTTTTACTGTTTTTTTCTTTAAAAAAAATGATGGAGTTTAGGTTATGTTTGATAGGTGATATAACCTTCAAAGAGTTTTTTTTTTGGGTTGTTTTTGGTTGAAACGACACATTTCGGTGTCCGCGTTTTTTTTAATGTCCCACGGGTTGAATAAAGTGTTTACACACTTTTACTGTTTTTTTTTTTTATTTAAAAAATCGATATCATTTAAGTTATTATTGACAGGTGGTATAACCTTCAAAAAGTTTTTTTTGGGTTGTTTTTGGTTGAAACGGTAACATTTTGGGGTCCGCGGGTTTTTTAAATGTCCCACGGCTTGAATAAAGTGTTTACACACTTACTTACTTTTTTTTATTTAAAAAATCGATAAAGTTTACATTATGTTTAACAGGTGACATAACCTTCAAAAAGTATTTTTTTTGTGTTGTTTTTGGTTGAAACGGCAACATTTTGGTGTCCGCAGCTTTTTTAAATGTCCCACGGTTTGAATAAAGTAACACTTTTACTGTTTTTTTTATTTAAAGAATCGATAAAGTTTCGGTTATGTTTGCCAGGTGACATAACCTTCAAAAAGTAACTTTTTTGCGTTATTTTAAGTTGAAACGCTTTATTAAATGTCCCACGGCGTGAATAAAGTATTTATTTATTTTTTTTGTGTTGTTTTTGGTTGTAACTACAACATTTTGGTGTCCACAGGTTTTTTAAATGTCCCACAGTTTGAATAAAGTATTTATACACTTTTACTGGTTTTTTGTTTAAAAAATTGATAAAGTTTGGGTTATGTTTGCCAGGTGACATAACCATCAAAAAGTAACTTTTTTGGTTTGTTTTTGGTTGAAACGACACATTTTGGTGTGCGCATTTCTTTTTAATTTCCCACGGCTTGAATAAAGTCTTTACACACTTTTACTGTTTTTTTTTATTTAAAAAAAAAAACGATGTAGTTTAGGTTATTTTTGACAGGTGACATAACCTTCAAAGAGTATTTTTTTGGGTTGTTTTTGATTGAAACGACACATTTTGGTGTCCGCAGCTTTTTTTAAATGTCCCACGTCTTAAATAAAGTGTTAACACACTTTTACTGTTTTTTTTATTTAAAAAATCGACATAGTTTAGGTTACGTTTGACAGGGGACATAACCTTCAAAAGTATTTTTTTTTTGTGTTGTTTTTGGTTAAAACGACACATTTTGGTGTCCGCAGGTTTTTTAAATGTCCGGTACTTGCGCAGGAGTTTTTTTGCAATCACCTGCACCCCACGCATGCGTACCACCTCCGAAGCCGAAGAGGTTTTGTTCGTTTGTCATGAATGGTGTGAGAAACGCAATTTTATTGCGGAAATTTTCGATTAGTTCGTTTTGAATGCAATCAATTGATGTCAGATTTGGTTAATAATTGATCAGTGTTGCGTTTAGTGTGTGGTAAATGTTGGAACAATTCTGATTAGTTTCGATTTGGAATTGCAAGTTTTCCCTCCAAATTGCGATGCCTCTTTTGAAGCGAAAGCCTTTCGAAAAAGCACCGGTCCCTGAAGATATCCGCGATGACGAGGAAGTTTTCTATTGTGGGGCCACCAATGAGATTTTTCGGGATTACGAGTGAGTTTTTGTAGCGTGGTTGACCTAACGGTCCCCTGTACCTACGCCATCGACCTCAAATTCAGAGATCGGAATCGATTTCAATGGTTGACCGTTTCAGGGATTTTTCCGAGAGGATGTTTCTGTGCAATTCGATGATTTGGACATGTGCTATGACGGGAAAACCGAATTTGACATATGCTGAGGCTTTAGAAAGTGAGGAAAATGCAAGGAAAAGCCTCAAAGAGTTCCCAGCTGAACTCAAAATCCCCATACTCTACCTCGCGAGTAGGACTAAAAGGACGTCTTTTGTTGACATGGTCGAAGACGTATTTTTGTACACCAAAGACAGGTATTTTATCGGTGAAAACGTTGAAACTTCATTCACCGAAACAAAATGGAAAGATTCACACGTGTTGCAAGTCATACCACCCAAATCACCGACTAAAAACGGGTAAGTCCCCAAATCCTCAAATGGTACCAACTTAAATTAAAATTCAGGAACACCGACAAGCCCTTGGCCACTCTCTACAAATACGAAATCGAGCATTTCGATGCCAACGATTGCGACATTAGTGAATTTATGATCGTTGATTGTACACAAATTCGACGCAAAAAAGGCACATATTCGCGTGAAAAATGTAAATTGTTTCTTAAACAATACGTCGAGCAAGACACTCGAGGCATTTTTGTTATAAAACCAACAGCTTTGGAAGCTTTTAATTTGGAAAAAATCACATTTGATAAGATTTTTGATGGTCAACCGCCCGAATTTAGTCCATCGAAGAAATTCGTCAAGAAAACACGACAAGAATCACTTGATAAATACCTCACAAAAAATACAAACTTTACCAAAAACGGTAACAATGACTTAATGGAACGAATGAGAAAGAAAGAAGAAGAATTCAAATTGGCCAAACAACAAAAAAAAGAGATGAAAAACGAAATGAAACAAAAGAAAAAAGAGGAAAATCTTCAACTTGCCAAACAATTGAAAAATTGGAATAAACCAAAAGAGGATCTAGAACTTGTTGATCAAAAAGTAATTTTTCAAACTCAATTTAATCAAATTTAACGGATTTTTTTTTGTAGAAATTACCAAAAGCGAGTCCTGTAAAATTGAAAATTGCCAACGAGTACGTGGGGGATGTTTTAATGGTGCTAGAATTTGTAAATACATTTTCGAAGCTTTTGCATACCAAGGACTTTTTCCCAGGGGGGCTCTCAGTGGACATTATGGAAAGGGCATTGACAGAAAATGAGGTAATCATAATAATGTGCATCGAAGTAGTCGTTGACAGGGCTGACAACCACACAAAAATTCAAACAATCCTAACCTCAATCTTATTTTTTCACTTTTTGTGTGAATTAGCCCACTTGATGCACATTAATATGAAAAAGAGTTTATTTTGTGTTAAAACTTAGTTACTAAGCAACGGCCTATTATTTATCAATTACATAGCAACAATCCTGTATTTTGTATCATTGCTATAGAAACGCAATAATAGTGCCGGTGTTTTTTTTTTTTTTCGTTGCGTAGTAACATTTGTGTTGTTTAGGTGGCTGGCCCCCTTATCGACCTGATTCAAATGCTATTGATTGCACTTTTTCATGTGCAAGAAGAGGAGGCGTCTCAATATCGCACTGAAACTGAAACTTTAAACCTGAAACAGGATGAAATTTCCGATAATATGAATCTTCATGAGGCGACTCGTTTAGCGACTATTGCTGCCGGTTGGAGTAAAAAATATCAAGGACTTCCATTGGCTCAATTGCCACTTTATTCACTAACAACATCGGAAGTGTTAAGATTACATCTTTTGTCATCTGGTGCTATAATAAAATTGACTGGTGCTAGATGGCGCTATCAGCAAAGAGGTGGTTATTTGAGTGAAGACGATCCTGGATTGTATTTAAGACTACATAGCCCCCATATTTTGAAAGCTTTAAAGACACACAATGTTGTTGAATTGTCAATTGGTGATAAATTGCAGATTTTGTCATGTTTAATGAATCAATTATTGACATATGCTGATGTTAGAGATGTTGTTGAAGAGAGAATGGAGAGTATTCGACAAGCAAAAGTTGAATATAAAGCCATTTTAGCTGTGGAAAAAAAGCGAGAACAGGAGTTTTTAACAGCGAGATTTAAGCTCCGAAAATCGGCGAAAACAGACGAAAAAGCAGCGAATGAATTACGCAAATTGGAGACGGAAGCCGAACATAAACGTATGGAAAATCAACGTAAAATGGAAGAGTTTCAAAAGGCGGCGTATGAAAAACAAGTTTTAATAGGACAGGATCGGGCTTTTCGACGTTTTTTCCGTCTTGAATCCGTCCCTGGATTCTTCCTAAATTCCGAAGAAGAGAATCCAGGGACTTGTCTAAGCAATATTATCGAACAAATACCACATTTAGTCGATGCAACACGTGACGAAATTTTAGAACATTTGAAAAAAACACTCAACGAATCAAATTCCAGCGATAAAGAGAATAGTCCGACGAAAAATCGTAAAAATGGTCAATGTAACGGTGTTTTAGAGCAAAAAATTCAACTTTGCGACGATTTAATGATGTGTTCATCGAATCCTGAGACTTGTATTGTTCATTCAAAGGATCGGAGAAAAGATTTATGGGGGTTTTACCACGAAAACGATCAAATTGATCAATTAATTGGTGCTTTAAATAAACGAGGAGTGCGTGAAAGTGAATTACAGCAAAATTTGGTTTGTAATCGAGAGGAAATTGCGAAATTGATTCGTGAAACACCAGTCAATAGTTTGAATTTTGAGATGGAAAATCGAGAAGAATTCAAACGTAATAATAAAAAAATGAAAAATAAATATGAAGATGCTAATTTGGGGTATCCTAATGATATGTCCCCAACAGAAGTCCAGCATAATGCCCTCATCGAGAATATCCTCGAAATGGAGGAGAAAATCTTTGCGGGGAGTCTGGGGGCGCTCAATATTAAAGATCGAGAAAAGTGGAGGAGCGACCTACAGAATAAAAATTACAAAGAATTTGATAAAAGTCTCACAAAACAACAGATCGAAAATTCCCAAAATCATGAATATGTTACTTCAGGACAGGATTTAATCCCCGATATTGACAATAATGAAAATCCCCTAACACAAAACGATGAAATTAAAGATGCAATTCAGTGTTTGGCAGTGGCTTTGGCTCAAGTGGCACAAGCTGTTGAACCAAAATTCCTCAAAAAACCACTAGGATGTGTCACCACTGGTCGTAATAATAGTAAAATGGATGAAAATGCTATAATTAAATGGGAACAATCCTTGTTGGCATCGACAAGTTTCAGTCAAATTTTTCTACATTATAGTACACTAGATTCTTGCGTTTTGTGGGCAAGATCTGTGCTCTTGACCCGATGTAGAATTTGTCGACGTAAAAACGACTCGGAAAATATGCTACTATGTGATGGGTGTAATTTGGGACATCATTTGTACTGTTTGAAACCGAAATTGAAGGTAAGGGCACGACTTTATCGACCTGGTACGAGTCGAATTTTCAGTTTAAGTTGAGATAAAATCGATTTTTGCCACTACAATACTGAATTGGCTTTGTTTAAGTGTTTCTAGTCGTGAGATTTATTGTAAATGGTGCTAAAATTGCGGAAATTACACTTTTGTGTTAAATTTGACAGCTGTCAAACGACTTTATCGACCTGGTAGGAGTCGAATTTTCAGTTCTAATTGAAATAAAACTCGATTTTAGCCACTGTGATATTTAATTGGCTTTGTTTAACGAGAGATTTGTTGTTTGTGGTACTAAACTTGCTTAAATGATACTTTTTGTGTTAATTAAACACCTACCATGTCGTTTAAATTGTTGCATTGTTGCACGATTTTATCAAAGTGGTAGGTGACGAATTTTGAATTTGAATAGAGTTAAAATTCGATTTTAGTCACTGTGATACTTAATTGGCTTTATTTAATTACTTTTTTGGTGTTTTTTGTTTGTCAAATGCCTACCATGTCGATTAAATCGTGGTTGAGGCTTTTATTTTGAGTTTGTTCAATTTTTAGAGTATTCCGCCTGGCGATTGGTTTTGTGATAAATGTGAGAAAGAGAAGAAAGTACCTGAAGTGGTCGAATCGCCGCCGAAGAAACGTCCGATTTTTCGCGATGAAGAAATCGAAGAAGAAGAATCAGAAGAAGAAGAATTGGAGAGTAATAATGAAGATGATGATACTGAAGATGCTGAAGAAGAGGAAGAACAGGATGAAAACGATGAAACGTCTGTAAGAAAAAAAAAATTTGTTCTTTACTAAAAACATTTTTCTAGGACTCCTAAAATCGATTTATGTAAAACTTGTGGTTCAGGTGGCGAATTGATTCAATGTGAAAATTGTACAATCAGTTATCATGTTGAATGTGCGGAACCACCATTACGACGCGCCCCCAGAGGTCCATGGTATTGTACGAAATGTAAGAAAAATAACGATAGAAAACGAAACTATGGTAAGTGAGAAAATTTTCGCACTTTGTGAATTTCTTCTAAATTGTACTATTGTACAGACACGAGCTACTGTAATGGTACCGTGGTACAGCGCACTGGAAAAATCAATGGCCAGCGTCGCTGTGCTGCAAAAGCCTTGTATAAAATCCACGATTTTGCAAAGAGTCTTCGAGAACACTCAGATTCTGACGGTGGGTTCTTCATTTTCACCCAACTACACTTAATATCTGTTTCAAATTGATGTGATTTGTTACCTAGCAACGTTCGTAACGTAGCAACAGAATCAACAGATCAGTGTTTATATTTACTTTGTTACCTAGCAACAGTTGCTTAGTAACGTAGCAACAAAATCAACAAATCAGTTTATATTTTCTCTGTTACCTAGCAACTAGACGTATCAATTTGAAACAAACTTTAAAGTTTTTTGTGAATTGTTTAGATTCAAGCGAGGAGGAAGTGATTAGTAAACGAGCGACTCGTCGCGATGAGGGGAGAACCGATTTGCCGTTGCATAATTCTGCATTGCATGCGGTTTTGTGTGAAGTGATGAAAGATGCAAATGCTTGGCCATTTTTGCGACCGGTTCAAAAGACTGAGGTGCCTGATTATTACGATGTTATAACAAAACCAATGGATTTTGGTACAATTAAGTATAAATTGAACATGGGGGAATATAAGGAAGATTCACAGTTTATGGCAGATGCAGTTTTGGTGTTTCAAAATTGTAATACGTATAATCATACCGAGGATGATGTTTACAAGTAAGTAATTTTTTTTTGTGTGATTTTTGTTAATTTTTTTTTGGTTGCAGATGTGGTGTACAGTTACTTAGACTTTTTCAGAAGAAATGTCGCGAGTTGGGGTTAAAACTTCCTGATGAGATGGATTATAATGACCCAAATGCACGTCCTAAAAAGAAAATTCGCACGAAATAGTATTATATAGTATTCTTATTTCTATATTAAAATTGTACATTTTTCTTTTCTCTAAATTTACTTTTGATTTGTACGATGTAATCATTTTAGCTGTTTTTGTAGGTACTATTTATGAATATTAATTTTTTACATTAAAAAAGTCTTTCCCATTCCTGAAACATAACCTTAAAAAACATGAATTTTGTTACAAAATATCAAAAATTCAGTCATTTCATAATTCATAAAAGACAAACTTAAGATAATACAACAAACACCAACAAAGTTTCGTAATTATTTGCCGTTCATCATCAGTTGTGACATAACCTCAAAAAACATTTCACCTGAAAATGGATGTAAAAACGTACAAAAGCATCGTAACTGTAATTCGGAAGTACAAAGGCCTGTCCAAAAACTGTCTCTCGGTTTTAGTTGCAACCTTCCCTTTGTATAACCCATTTTTGTGAAAATTTATAATTTCATGATTTTTTTTTCAGCATAAACCATGATACTCTTTACAGTATTTTATCCCTCGAATATCAGAAACGTATGAGAGTGAATCATGTGAAAAGTCAATCAGTTATTAACAAATACTGGGATTTGTATCAAATGTCGGTGAAAAAGGGGGCCGGTCCTGGAATCATCCTCCAAATGGCTCAACAGTTCGATATTTGCCCTTGTCTCATCGCGAAATTAATTCTACAAAAGTATTTCGAGGAGTGTAACATGGAATTGACACAGATCAACGCGCATTTAAGAGATACTTCACTAATCCCAGACCCACATTTAGCCTACGAAGTGTTCCTAGTAAGTTGTTGCATAAAACCGATTTCAATCATACAAGAATTTTTCCAGTGCACAATCTATGATAATTTATACAGTCCACTATCAGAAACGATGAAACAGTAAGACTCCTACTTAAATCTATCAAAAAAAAACAATGTTAAATTCCAGTTCTCTCGGTCAAGAATACGAAATCAAATTACACAACGAAGTGTTAAAATTAAATTTAGCCTTCAGAGACGAGGAACATCTACGAAAATTCGGCTACGACAAGACCCCCGATGTTAAATTAGACGTCCCGGTGGCCGTGGACGGCTTCGTCATCAACTGGATCGAGAGCAAAGCCCTATTTGGCGACGAAGACGTCCACAAAGACTACACCAAAAACCAGTATCTCAGCTACTGGAATCGCTTCGGACCAGGACTAGTGATTTATTGGTTCAGTTACGTCAAAAGCATTGTTCAAACCGACGACAAAAGGTTCATCATCAGGGACCACTTACCCACAAACATTGTCCACATCAATTATCTCTCTTAATTAATAAAGTCTTTAGTTGCTATGTAACAATATATGCGTTCCTTGGCAACGAAATAGAGAATTAATAAAGTCTTTGGTTGCTATGTAACAATATATGCGTTCCTTGGCAACGGAATAGAGAATAGTGTGTATAATTTTTCAGTTGCTTGGTAACAGAGAAAAAACGGACTGTGTTTTGTGTGTGTTGCTTAGCAACAAAAAATGGTGTTTTTGCACTAGGTAAGAAAAGCATCAATGAAAAAAGGGTAATTAAACACTACACTGAAGTTAGAAATCGGTCCTCGAGTCGATTATTTCTGGGTGCTTGTGCTAATAGGTCTCGCAAATGGCACAATAAAGCATTATTGCAATGTATAATTCACAAGTATCGAATAAATAGGGGAGTTATATTGCGCACAAGAATTAGGGATAGGATTAAGTGGTGGTACAATAGACAGCCCTCTTATTATCCGCCATAAAGGAGAAGTTAATTTGATTCGTTTCTGCATGAAATACGGTCATAAATCAAGCAACTGGTCGTGAAAATTAATATTGAAATTAAATAAATATACAGATTTGTCAATAAGAAATTACCACCTAGAATTTGAATTTTTAGGAAAATTACGTTTTTCATGTTGTAAGTAATTTTGAATGTGTATTGTTGGTTATCCCGCTGACAGGTGGCTTAACCTAAATTTTTGACACTAGTTACGATATCTTTTGTTTGTCACCAAATTCACGAATATCCCTAAATCCTAGGGAGTAATTTATATCAGGTGTTCGATATGTGATAAAAATTCTTGACATAGTCTCGGAGGGTGAACAGATGTACACGAAGGCCTAATTTTCCACTTGAATATTCTATTGTCTTTGAAAAGGGATCGACAAGTGAATTTTTGATTATTTATTCGTCTCGAATAGTGGCTATTTTTGCATCAACCTCTTTCAAAACTTGATCCAAAACAACATTTTTTGAAAAATCTTGCTCACTTGACGATTTCAAGTGCTGAGTCTCGGGGTATTTAGCCTGAAAATGTGACTCAAATGAGAAATTTTGACACTTTTTCGTTTACTTCAAGTTCAGTATCGATTTCCAAGAGACGTTGTTTGTCGTTTTCGCACAAATGAAAGCCGTTTGACGTTTCATCGCAGTCTGAAAATTCGAAAAATTTGAATTGTGTGTAAATGATGAGAAAAATTTTACCATTTGTTAGGATTTGATCCAATTGGTGTTTTTCCTCGTCGGTGAGAGGCAATTTCGACATGGCTGTAGCCAACTGTTTGATCAATAACTCAGGATTCAAATATCAGGCTTTGTTTACTCACCTCGATGTTTCTGTGGATGAAATCTTTGTCTGGTTTTTCACGCTTTATTTTCCTTGACTTTTTTTCATCGTCATTAAGACAACATAAAGTTAGGAATATTGACTCGTTGCACATTTCTTTTTGTACTTTCATTCTTTCCTCTTTCTCGTACTTTAACAAATCTTTATTTATTTGGTAGTTTTGCTCAAGTTTTGCAATTTGGGCCATGTTCTCCATTATTGTCGCGCTTTTGCGACCGATTTTTATAGTTGGGAGAGAGTCAAGCAAGTCAAATTGGAGTTTCTCGCCTTAAAACACGATAGAAAGTTGGAAAAAATTAATTTGGGCAAACCTTTCAAGTTTGTTTGAGTCGTTTCGATGTATGGTAAAAATGAAAATAAATCTTGTTTTTGCAAGTTTTCCAATTTGTTTAACAGCTCGGACGAAATTCCGGCGATTTCCAACTCGGTTTTATCCATTTTAGGTGATTTTTTTAATAAAATTTGACAAGAAAAGTCACTCACAAGTTACACGGTGTTTGCTTAAAATTAACTTGATTTAATTACGCATTTTGTATTCCATTCTACGTCTCACCCTGTATATTAATTTTGTCTTGCATTCAACGTGTTAATTGTACTACAAATCGTGTTTTCTTTTTGGATTTCAGTGCAGCGTTGTCGAATTTTTGGAAATTTTTTTGCAAAATTTTGAAAATGCATCCTTCGATTTAAATTTTTCTAGCATCTTTATTATTCATAATGGAGAAGTCAAATTTTGGACATTGAGAAAGCTTTGCTCTATCGTTTGATGTAATTTTTATTTGATTTTTTTATACAGGGTATAATTTTTTTTTGATAATTCAAATAAAAATAACACAATAGATCTATTTAGATAAATGATTCGGACCTCATTTATGATATTGAAAATAATAACTTTTTTTTTTCACGTTTTGTAAACGTGATGACAATTAAAAAGTTTCGCAAAAATTAGCATCAGTTACACTTTTTGAAATATTTTGTTTGTTAAATAACAATCAAATTCTTATATGTTATTTTATATGCTAAAAAAACGTGTTTTGTTTTTGGATTTCCGTGCAGCATTGCCAAATTATTAAAAAAAAATTGCAAAATTTTGAAAATGCATCCTTTGATTTAAATTCTAGCATCTTTAATATTAACAATAGAAAAGTCAAGTTTTGCACATTGCTAAAAAAGGCTTTGTTCTATCATTTGGTGTAATTTTCATTTAATTTTATTATACAAGGTGCGTACTGGAAATGATCAAATTGTGCAATTTTCAAACACTCGTAATTTTGTTTGTTTTTAATAAAATTCTATATTTTTTGTATCAATATATTTCACCACTAATTTTCTTTTATACCTGAACATTGTAGTTTTTAAAATAAAGACAGAATACTCTTACTCACCCTGCATAGGGAACAATTTTTCGATGTATTCAACTTTTTCATATTTTTTACACATGATGTGTTTTTATTTACTTTGTTAAATGCTCCAAAACCGTTTTTTGTTTTTAGATTTTGCTTGCGGCGTTGCCAGGTTCATTTTTTTAGCAAAATTTGAAAATACTTGACTTGTTTTAATTTCTTCTACCTTTATTACTAATAGTAGAAAAATGAAACTTTGCACAACAATAAAGAAAGCTTTGCTCAATCGTTTGGTGTAATTCTTATTTAATTTAATTATACAGGGTGCTTACTAGAAGTGATCAATTTGAACGTATTCCTCGACTCACCCTATACCAGGTGAGTCAAATTTTATCCGCACTCCTCAAAATACCTCTCGTGTTTAAACTAAGGTAATGCGAAAATGCTGGAGGTGCAGCGAGAATATCGAACTTTCCGACAAATTAATTCCACTCATATTAAAGAAATAAATTACAAAATATCACAATTAGCAAATGGAAAAATTCAAAATTTTATTTGAAAACCCTTTTTCCATCCTCGACGAGTCACACATGTCAATAGTCTCGCATAATTGCTATAGTAATGCACTGAAGTTTATACGTAACTATGGTAACAAAGAGTTAGAAAAATGAAAATGTCATGGCAACCATGAAAAATTGCGTACACTCCAGTGGCGGGTAATGCTTTTTTGTCGATTTTTTATACTTACATTTTGTATGCCAATAATTGACCACAAACTTCAGCAATATTCCTCTTCTGTTCAATTACAATAAACTCTGTTATAGAGAACAAAGGGCTTTTCTCATTTCGCTCCAACCATAAACAATTTACAGCAAAGTGTAATATCGCTTTGTGTGTGCGCCCTCTGTGTCTGTTTTCGTCAATATTTGTCCTAAAACCGCAAATTCGGCCGCCTCGCATACGTATTTCCATCATAATAATAATAATCGCAATGATTTTCATCATCGTCCGGAAAATTCCAATACAACGTTGTTATTAGTCAGGTTAGATTTGTCGGTAAATCATTCCGTCACAATCTAAGCGAGTGAGATTATTGGATTTGGGGTCGCAGAGAGGGGGCTTTCATAATTCGATATACAGCCCCGCCCTAAAGGTTATACACCGCTTTGGTTGCCCTGGGAGACGACACAACGAATGGCGGATTCAGGCGGGATTTCCCCTCGAGAGAGAGTTGCAAACAAACCTGCGAGAAGCTTCCGAGTTTTAGGTATAGAAAGCTCGAAACTAGTTTACCGTTACGTCACACAAAAACAACTAAATTAATTATTGTATTATGTGTGAATACACGACGGAGATTTGCAACAATTTCGTGGTCAAAATCTAAACAAAATTTTCGTACATTTGAAAGAAATGATTTTGAAATGCGGTTTTTTCGAGTGTGCTTTGTACGCAACGGCCAACTTTGTGAGATTGCGTTTTGTGCCGCAATATTTAATTTAAGCATGGCCGCGCTGCTTCCTTCTGTCAAACCGATGTTGACTCCGTCTCATTCTCGATAATAATAAGATTTATTTGGGAGCAGCGTTCAATACTTGCAATCCGGGTCGTAGAGTCTGTTTGGAATCTTATAACACGTCGACTCGCCTTCTTGCTCCTCTCCAACATTCATCTTGATAATAATACGAAGAAAGTAGTTGTTGACAACTTCAATATACATCGTTGTATGTGATGCTTGATGCTTGTGTACATTTCTATGCTAGTGAAATGTTCATAAAAGATTGCGATTTTACTGGATTCACATATTTGAATAAAGAATGTTTTTTTTTTAACATACAGTGTGTCCCAGCGAGTTGAAAAAGTCCATTAGTGACCTTTAATTGGTAAAATTGATAGATACTAATCTAATCCATCGCCTAAAATTATTTTCTACTATACAGCGTGTTTCAAAAATAAGTTTTTTTTAATAAAACACCATATGTTTTTTAGCGTTTTTGATGGATGTAGATTTTTATGACAATATTTTTAAGCTAAACTTTTATTGGTCGATTTTGCTTAGTTTTAAAAATAAGGCGGTTTTTGTGCACTTTTTAAAAATTTATTACACAAAAACTGAGACATCTAGAAATATTTTTTTACTACCGCAAAGACGAAGGTACAAGCTATAAGGTTGTAACATTTTTTGAGTGTGTTGCATTTGCAAAGATAAAAAAATGAAGGTGTTTGTTAAAAGTTTAATAACTTAAACAATTTAAATGAAACACCTTATTTATTGTTTTTGCATTTAAAATATTATTAAATTGTCTTTCTAAAATTATTTACTTTTAGGTGTTTATAATCAATAACTAAAAAGAAATTTAACTTTAAACATTAAAAAAAAATATTTACTATTGTTTCAGTAGCCAAAAAGTGCACAGTTGCACAAGAGATGGAAGAAATATCACTTAATAATCACATTTGTGTTAAACTGAATCCATTATTCTTTATTTTTACAATAAAATAATTCAAATTTCAGTATTTATAACGACTTTTACAATCTTTGGATAAATCAACTGATAAGTGATCCGTGGTGGAATTACTATGATTACCATAGTATCAATAATGCTCAGATATTGATAATCATTGTTGCTCCAATTAATACTGAATGTTAAATATCTTTTCATTTATCAATTCTAGACATTAAAAGTTTATTTTTTTAGATAGACAATTTATCAATATATTAGATGCAAAAATAAAAAAATAGGGTGTTCCATTTAAATTTTTTAAGTTATTTAACTTTTAACAAACTTCTTAATTTATTAATCTTTAGAAATGCAAAACACTAAAAAATTGCTACAGCTTTAAATTCTGTACTTTATTTTTTGCAGAAGTAAGAAAAAACTTGTTCTAGCTGTCTTAGTTTTTGTGTAATATATTTTTAAAAAGGGCATGTTTTCTTGAAAAAAACGTCTTATTTCTAAAACTAAGCGAAATGTTTAAAAACATTGTTTTAAAAAGCTACATCCTAAAATGCCAAGATACATACGGTGTTTCATTTAAAAAAACACAAGTTTGCATTGTAACTTATTTTTGGGACATGCTGTATAGTTGAAAATAATTTTAGGCGATGAACTAGATTAGTGTCTATATAATTTTTTAAATTTTATTATTTAAAGGTCACTAACGGATTTTTTCAACTCGCTGTGACACCCTGTATATATTTCAGTAATTACATATTAAACCAAAAAATTATTATGAACGGAGAACGAACATGAATTACTCATCTTGTATGTAATAATTTTGTAAAAACGTTAATTTTTTGAAAAAAAACAAAATTCAATTCAATCAAATAAAATCAGTGATCCGCCACTGGTTTATTGTTTACTATAACAAGTGACGTTTTCCTTTTTTACACATTTTTTGATAACTATAGTTACATACACATTTCTATAGCAACGATGTATGTACATCTAGGTACTCATTTTTCAACCGACTCGTTTAGGTTGGAAAAAGGGTTTTTTAAATATCAAAATACACCAAAAAAATTGTGTTTTTATTGGTAGTAATTGACAATTATTTCGTGTATTAATACAAATAAACAACTTATAAGTAAATATATGCGTTCACTTGCTTGTTTTGTTAATTATCTAGTGTTTTAAATATAGGTATTTGAAAAAAAACAAAAATAATATCTGTGTGTTCATTAAAAAAAAAGAGTGCTTTGACAAATATTTTGCACGTCTTTGATTAATTCATTCCATTTGTCAAAATGACAGACACGTTTGTCAACTGCGAGTTTTTTTATAATGAAAACATCATGATACTACTTTTCGATATAATATTTCGCTTCTTTGAATAGAAAATAAAATAAATGAAATTTTTTTTCACTATTTTTGAGTCAATCCGAATAAAAAAAATCACTTTTTTAGTAATAAAAATTTTAATCTGGAACAATTAAAAAATAGATTTTTGTAATTTTTGTAATTATCTCATGTTGATTTGTCCACTCGATGTAAAATTTACAAAAAAAAGTTGTAAATCTAGTCGCTACAAGTTTAGTCATCCACAAATTGTTGAAATAATAAGCATTCACTGCAATTTGGATCAGATATTAGATATAAGATCTTCAAATAAAATAATAATATTAAGAGTTTTTGAAACATTACACTAGTTTACAAATAATAACTTGTTGAATATACCTTTAATC